CCCGGCTAGGCAGTGGGCGCACGTGTCCTGACCCACGGGACGCTTGGCTGGCTTGCGGTGTGTCTCCGGGTTGCTCTCGTCCTCCCCTATGAGGCGGAGATACCATGCCCTAAATAGGGGGTTAGTGTCCGGTCAGCTATAAATACAACCTGGGTTGAAAGTGAGGTAGGCGAACGGGTTAAATGGGCAATATTAATAACGAAAAGACGATAAGCATTCGGGAAAGAGAGAGGAATAACATTCAGTCACTTACCACTCCTTGAAAGTGTACTTCCGCGGTGGCGAGCTCTGCAAATGCTTGGTCACGCGTCTGATCTCGTCAATTAGAACTAGATGGTATTCGGATCGAGTTTTTGGCAACTCCGTCGGGACATTGGCTCTAGCTTTGGAGGTCTCGCGCTTAGGTCTACGCTTTACTTGTCCTTGATTTGGCGAGTCTTCCGATCTCGACGAACCCCTTCCTCGCTTGGTGGAATGGGTCGACTTGAGCGCATATCGTGCCTGGGGGATCCGCCCCTCATCGGAATCGCGGTTATCAACGTTGGCGTAGTTGTTCGCTTCGCCCGAGTCAGTATCTTCGAGCTCTTCTTCGTCCCTGTGTGGCTGAGCTGCACCAAGGAACCCGGGCGGGGACTCTTCAATATCATCCTCTGCGAATAATACCCCAAAGCTCAATTTAGACAAAATTTGCTTGGTCTCGTTCTTGAAGCCGTGTTCTGCCGGCAGAATTGTTAGGTTTCCAAGCCGCAAGGTCCCGTCTTTAATCAACTTCACTACAGTATCCCCGGCGTTCGAAATGAGAACTGTCATTGTGGGAAGCGCCAGAAGAGACCAAAAAACGAAGAATGCCTTGGCAGAGTTGGAGACTGGAGTGATATCACCGTACCCGATCGTCGTCAGCGCTGTGAAGCAGAAGTAGATGCCATCGAAATATGACCATCCTTGGTATGGTGCTTCGCATTCCTGGAATATTTTGGCGCCAACCAGCCATAATACGGCCCAGGTGGTAAACGATGCAGCCATTGCCATCCACCTCCTCCTCGTGGAGGCTTGATCCTGGATTTTCCGCATTAGAGCAAACTCGCGACGGCGACGGTTAAATTCCGCATGTGGATGCTGAGGTCCTTTTTTCTCGGGGAAGTAGTCGAAATCATCGTCTTGGATAGGCTCGAGCATGTTTTCTTTGCCCTTCTGTTTCAATCGGCGAATGAGCTGCCGTCGTCTTTTCTCTAGCACCCTCGCATCTAGCCTCCGTCTTCCTCTGTCAAGTATGAGACTTCGAATTGATCCGATAACTAGACCAAAACTGATAATGCCGACAAGTGCGTAAGGTATCAAAAGAGCGCGACCCAGACTAGTTTCCGGGGATATGTCGCCAAATCCCACGGTGAAAAGGGTTACGTCGGCCCAGTAGACGGCGTCTAAATAGTTCCAGCCTTCAATATTGCAGAAGACCAAGGCGCCCAGGAGGAGGTACATGAGGAAGATAATAGTTTGGAGCATCAGGGTGCGCTGGCTAGCAGTCAGTTCGAAATCCTTCGCATAATGGCCTTTGGCTGCACCCCAGACGGTGATGACCATCAAAGATGCCACAAGGAAGTAGAGGATGGCAGCAAATATGCCATAGTAGAAAGCCTGGGACCAGACATATTCAATCTCGGGCTGCACAGTCAGGGGACCTTCCGCAGTGGCACACAAAGCTACAAGACACACGGCTGAGAGATACCACCCGACTATGGTGATTGGTTGGGCAACAGAGAACCGCACTCTTTTAGTCATGTTGAGGAGCAGAAACATGTTGGCAATAAGGGCGATGACAAGCTGAACAGCGTTGACAGCAACTAACCAAGGAGGGTCGGGAACGAAGACAGCCTTAGTGACGTCGGATCCCGGTAGGATGTGTTGTCTCCAGTTCTTGACAAGCGCACATATACTGAAGGCCGAGGCGACTGGGCCTAGAGTACCAGCTATCATGGGGAATGCGGCCGAAGCAAACCACCAACGGCTTCACGATCGCCCGGGTGTTAGTGACCGTTCATAAGCCCTTGGCTGAGAATCAAGAGATGCTTGCTTACCTAGGGGTCAGATGGACCTGACCAGCCATCACCGAGTTGTGGCCCGTCTTTTCCATACGAATGGCATCGAGGGTTTGGGCATGGCTGTCCACATTGTTGCCGAGGTCTGCGTCGTTCATGCTAACGAAGGCGAAAGTGAGGAGGGAGATGAGCGAGGTACCTAATCAAAAGGGGCTGAACCAAAGAGTTACGACAACACCAAAGACGAAAGATAAATACAGCCTCAGCACAAATAGATTTGAAATGAACTTGACAGCAGTAGTATATGAGTGTAAGTAGAGGTAGGCAAGGTAGAATGGTGAGTTATGTGTGGGATTGCATCCATAATGAGAGGAAGGGTCGGTTTCGACTTGAAGCTGTGTAAGTGCAAGCTACTAATGTTAACTCGGGGAAGCAAATGAATTGGCAGGTAAAGACAGTCAAGTGGTATTTAATGTAGGTACTTGCATCAATATACGTTGACATCAATACATACATATCAAGAAGCTTAACCTTTAGTACCTAAGGTATGACGTCGCTTGGCATTCCAAGAGATCACGTTAGTGGGGTAGATAGTGGGTACCTACTACTAGTAGTAGGCAAGTACTAGCCTAACTAAGCACATGCGATCATGTCGTTAGCGCCCCTCCACCTGCAATGCAAGCACCTCCAGTAGGTACTAGGTACATGTATGTAGGTAGTATGACCTACCAGTAAACAGTAACCTTAAGTAAGGTTCAATTTAGTAGGTAGATAGATACATACACCAGGTATTGATAGGGCTCTAGGTAATGCTTCTATTTCCACTAACTCTACAAAACTTCCACTTTTTTTTCCTCTCCTTTTCTTCCCCTTCCCCCCTTTCTTCCTCCCCCAATCCTCGTCACGAGATCGCCCATCGGGCTCTAAAGCTCGCCCGAATCTAGCGCGACCTACCTAATTCATCACCTAGGTGCGTCTTATTAGCTTCCTGAAAGCTAAAGAAGGCGGGAGAAGATGAGAAGATGGACGCCACTTAGCCCCTCCATATATGCCCGCTCCTGCCAGGTCGGAGTGAGGTTTCTGAGTACTGCCGTCCACGATGTGCAACGAGTTAGTGTCCGATGCGGATTATCGGGCAGCCTCAATCTTGAGTATGTCAAGCCGACAATAGGTGGCTTGCAAAAGAGCAGCCCCCCCCCCCCCCCCCCCCCCCTTTTTTTTTTTCTTCCCCCCTCCTTATTATCTCCTTCTAATAATACCTTTCAGTTTGTACAATACCGCCAAACTGTCTTCTTTAAAGACATTACTGCTGTATCTACCTCCATATTCTGCCACTTCAGCAAATGAAGCCTTTCAGCCGCCTTCATTCTGTTGGGACTATCCCACGGCCGTTATAAATTACCGCTGGTCTAATTTCTCCCCTTTTCGTTTCCCCGATAGTTCTAAGTCAGCACCCATCTCCTTTGAAGACACTTACCTAGCATGGCCCACTCCTCTTCAGGATGTCTTCAAAGCATACAATTGGGTTTTATCATATCTCGAGTCCTTGGAGCTTGAACAGCTGGATATTTTCGTGTACGGCTCATATCTCGGTGCATCATTGGCCGCCTCGCTGGCCCTGACTGAATGCTACCCTCACCAGTCTGTGTCGATCCGGGGATGCATCGCCTACAATGGCATATATGACTGGACGACGAGTCTATATGACAATCCAATCAATAAAACATTTGTGGATAAGGTAACGCCCGAAGGGAGGAGAAATAGAGTGGTAAAGACTCTGCTGCCGACACCGTCACGGGACGCTGACTACAACCTCATGGAACGAAGTACCCGACAATTGTTCGGGCAACCTCAACACTTATTTGACCCGTTTGCAAGCCCTTGTCTATTGTTCCGGACCCCTGGCCTCCTCGTCCCTCCTGACTTTGATGCATCAGCGGTCTCGGTAGCCACGCTATCGAAAGTTCACCCCACCATTCAACCCCGTGTCCTCAAGACCATGGCCGCTCACATGCAACGAGTCACAGGATATCGTCAGGATTATCCACCAAGGAATTCGAAACTGATGATTCCCGAAACACTGTTACTATTTTCACAGCCTCCAGAGCGTTTACGTTCAGTCGAAAACCACCGGAAACGGGACCACGGGAGGACCTTCAAAGACCAAGCGGCGAGGTTGGCAAATTCAATGCTGGAAAGTATCAAATTCAAGCCAAAACCGGCCCGAGGCACGTTCAACAAGGAAGCAAGACAGCAAATGGAAGTACCGCAAGGGGTGGCAGAGAAGGGAGGAGTGACTGAAGGAGAGAAGGAAGCGGTAACAAGTGAGCCATCGAAAGAGGACATAGTACGGACGAAATGCGTCGACATCAACCCCGAGATGGGAGAGCTGGGAAGTGAAGGGAATACGTTGGTTTCCAAATGGCTGGAAGATATATCCTTCAAGCCTCCGCCGGATGACAGGTTCTCCTGAAGGATGTATGAACAATATAGGGTGAAAGAGGGAATTAATGTACATTGTAATATACTACTAGTCCGCTCCGTCGCCCCCCAGAAGCCACCTACCTTAGTAGTCGCCATGAAGCTATTTGTATTATCTGTCTACGTAGGTAGGTAATTTATACCCATAGTTCGCGCTATACATTATGTACTAGGTACCACACACTTAACCGCCTCGCCTACTGAGACAAGATAGTATTGTCTCCCGGAGAGGTGGGATGGAAGAACCTTGACCAAGAGAATCAATCGCATGTGGGAAAAAAAAGCATTTTGGTTCTGAGGCGAAGCATGCATGTGTGCAGTCTAGTTGACAAGTTCTTGATCCAGGATTGACTACATACAACCACGGAGCGGGGGGGGGGATATTATTTTTCAAAATATTCAAGTTCACTCCACTTCGTTCACTTTCAATCTTTAAAAAGAAGAAATCTAATTTGAGAAGTCTAAAAATCAAGAAAAAGAAACGGGCTTCACCGGGATTCGAACCCGGGGCCTCTCGCAATCCAGGTGTTAAGCAGGTAACCCAAAGCGAGAATCATACCACTAGACCATGAAGCCGTGGAGAACCGGAACACTGTGTTTCTCCGATTCTGTGTTGGGAAACGGGGCCCTTATGATGGACTATATACTTTAAAAGTAGGGACCTACTAGTGGCGCGACCCATTTTTATGGGGGGAAGGGGGTTTGGTGGGTGAGAACTTACCCAACCTAGAACTTTACTTACTCCATGATAGCTAAATGGACCGAAGTAAGTAGGCAGGGAGCTGTTGCATGCATCAACTGGGCCTTTCATGTTGGTTTTATTGATTGATTGATGGTAGGTAGGAGAGTTTTCTGGCATACTGCCGGGGGGGATTTCCAGGTAAGTAAGTAGGCATTCAAACTCTCAACTCTCGTTTGATGCTGTGATGATCTCCTTAAAGGGGGTTGCTTCTGTTTCGGGTTCGGTCTCGTGCCGCGCTTGGTTTTTTTTTTTTTTCCATGCCGTGTGTGTGACTGTCGCCCATACGATATTCATGCTATATTCAATCCCATCCCTCCCTCCACCCACCTTCGTCGGAAGGACTGAGGGGTGGTTACCTAGCTGGGGAGCGGGTAACTCTTTTTTGACCTCCCTTTTTTGTAACCGCGATATACCTACCTGCTGTCCTTGTGTCGTGCAGTGAGAGGGGGTTTATCGCCCCCCGCCTCTTCTGTTTGACGTGCCTCTTCGGTGATAAATCATATCTGCTTCCGTGTAGGTAGTACCAGGATTGATGCCGGTGTTGGTGTTAGAGCCTTGTTGGTGAGCTCCGTTTGTCGTCCAGACTGGGAAACGCTGAGGCCTGTCGGGAAGGGAAATGCCTGTTTCCTATTCATCGGCGTGGATGCTGGGACTAGGGGAAAGGTCTAACCTAGGTGTCTGGCCATATAATGTAAAATATGTCATTCGTTCTACACAGAATGATCACACACAATGGTATATGGTTTCAATACCCTCTAAGAAGTTTATATAGTCTTCAACCGGGTATAATATGCTGGTATGCACAATGGCTGGTTATCTGGGAAACGCACAAGGTGTGGGATATTTCGGGCTATTGCAGTTTTTTTCCCCGTACCGAGTCTCTCTTTAAGATGATAGCCATAATACATATATGCATGCATAAAAATCAGATTTTTGCTTTTTTTGTGACGATACTGGCTTGATTGTGACATGGAATTTTGTTGTTGTCTGTTGTGCACCAATGTTAGTAGTGGGGGTCAGGAAGATGATAACCGTGAATACGATGATGACAAGCAGGTCTGAGTGTTGAAATAGCTATGGTGGTATTGACAATGTGTTTAGAAACTTCCAGAGGAGTCGTCTACACGTTTGTTATTTGTTTATAGGTTTACTCCTGTTCATATTGATATTTGCAACGCAGGTAACCGCTGTCTGCAGCAGATGCTGAGATTCCACGGAGTTAACGACCTACCCGAGGAACGTACTCAGATATTTCCTTATGATGATACTTGTGAGTTTATTTTCTTGGTTTAAATATATATATATACATATATTAAATCTAGTTGTATTCATTGTGTACCTACTCTTCTGTAACAATTTCAGGGCTGGGGTGCCCGGAATACGATATGTCCCTATTGTTTTCTGTATACTTTTCCTCTATTGTTCGATCATGTATTAAGTATCCCGAAAAATGCCCCCCTCTCATCACTGAAATGTCACAAAAGCTAGGCCGAGTATTGTAGCCTCAAATTATGAATTGTGACTATCATATATCGAGCACATATATAAAACTTTTAATAAGGAGGCAAGGCAGTTTGGTTAACTTTCAGAAAATAGATACCTATAGGTATCGATATCCAATAATAACTTGATGAGCACTTGTTTCTTAGGAGCAGGAAGGTCAATCTGGCCGGTTAGTTCTCTGGATGAGATGGGAAGGATTACTTGGATGGGTTGTCATCATATTGCCTTATTACGTAGCACCTCAACTGAGTTCAAAGTTCAGTAAGAATATAGAAACATGTGTATAAGAATATAAGATGAAGAAAAACATCAGGTCATAATCTCAAAAATACCACGGAAGCCAACACATATGTATGTGAAGACTATATCATGGAGACGAATACTCTAAAAATGGGAAGACCTTTAATGCTTTTATACGTAGGGCACTCCCACTAGTAACACCTTGTTACTCTTATCCCCCCTAATTTTGCCTATATCTATTCTATTTCGAGCATCCGTCTTCAGCTATTCCCTAATATATCCCGTACTCTATGTCTTCTAATAGTGCAGTTGTTGTTTTTCCTGCCCGGGGTTGAATTTAAAACGTAGCCCTCTGCGCGCTTACCAGACTCGTAATAAAGGGACCGATCTCATGGAAATGAAACGACTTAACCTAGTCTAGGACAGTGGTTCTGCTCCTACATCCCCCCTCGCTTAGTTTGGCGCGGCGTTCTGAGTGAGCCTTGTGGCTTCTTCTCTAAGTATCGCTGCCTTGAAGGCCTCGCTTAGCTCTACCTGCTCGCTCTGCGTAAGGGGGATCTCGCGCCCTTGTCTCTCGCGGCGGCTTGACTGCGTCTCCTTCAGCGTTGCGTTGGGGTCTTGACCCGTCTTATCTGCAAACTCATATGACCGGAGCTCGACGTTGGCCCACCCGGTGCCTGTCAAGAATGGCCTAGTTAGCTACGATACAAGGAAGGCACTCGTACCTAGGCGGATAGTGGTGGCCTTGTTGGGTCGTTATATGACGGCGGGAAGAGATAGGTAAGGACGGAGGGAGGGGGGTCACGTACCGCGTTCCAGTTGAACGCCGTCCCAGTCCTCGGTTAAGAAGTGTAGTATGCCCCCGTGGGTGACCAGGACCACTTGGGCATCGTCGCCGGCCTGCTGGACTAATTCTCGCAACCACACTCTGGCGCTCCGCGCTCTGGCCTCGAGGTTGTCCGGGCTCGGGTAGTACTTGCTGGTTACCGTCTTGTCGTTCCATCCGTCCTGGACGAGGTGGAAGTCCACACGGTCGCCGAACTCCGCCTGCAGCTTGGCTGGATCCGTGCCGATGTCGCAGGGCAGCGTAGAGATCTCCTGCGCATCAGGAAGCGCAACGACCGTCTTGCCAGCCTGGACAACGGGGGCAAACGAACGCAGGCAGGTGAACAAGGTGCGGCGCAGAGGCGAGGCGACTAGGTGTGTGATCTGGTCGTGCGAGGGAAAGCGGCTGCAGAGCCCGTCGCATTGCTTCTCGCCCTCAGGAGTCAGGTCGGGATCTCGAAGCTGCTGGTTTTCCACGGAGAGATTGTGATACCCCTGAGCGTGGCGTACGAGGTGGATGATTGGGGCCATCTTGATGACCCGGCGATGAGAGTGGGTAGTACCTAATTAATCAACCAAGGCACTCCTGGGGCTAATAAAGATTGCTACTCGAGGGTCAATGGGTTAATGGAAAAGCGCTCTCGACACCACCTATCTACCTGGGATGGGCGGTAATTCCGGTGATGACAATTGGCGGGATTGGAAGAGGAGACCCCCAATGATATCACCAAATAATGTCGATGCGGGATTGATCTGTCTAGACCGTGTCTACCTAGGTAGGTAAGAGTGTCTGTTCCTGGGAACGCCTGCTTTTCGGTACCCGACTTTGAACAAGTACGAGGTTTGTGTGATTTGGTGTCTTCCCTGCTTGGCTTGTAGAAGTGTAAGGTAGTGAAGAGCGGAAAGTAATTGATGAAAAATTGGACTCTACAGATCTTGAAATTTATACGTATATCTACCTAAGACTAGACAAAAAATTTCTTTTTCTTTACTCTTTCTCATGCATCGTGGCTTTTCGGACGCCTGTCACCCGGAACTAATCTCATCCCAAAGTTTGGATTCATGACTGTGATGACTGATGACTCTTCATAGCCCGATCTCGGTTCGGATAACAGGAAATGGAATTAAAACAAACCACTCAGTTCGCTGGATTGGTGTAATTGAGGTAAACTAACGTGGAGTTTCGCGACTTTCAAAAATAGCTAATTGTCGCTATAAATATATATCTTGTGAGGAAGAGGTATCGTGCTTGATGGCAATTACCTGTCAATGAATGCGACTTCAGTGAGGTTACTTAGTTGAACTGAATTTCGTTTACTTCAATAAGTCACTAGGTATGTAACTTTACAGAGGTGGGTAAGCATTGATTGATGTAACCTCAATAGTTACTGTTATTAGTTGCGCGCGAAAAAGAAGAAGAAACTAGGTATGGTGCATTGATGTACTGTAGGTCAAGTACTATGTGCATCAATATCCATCTACCTACCTAAGTAGGTTTACCTACATCTAACCTTAGGTAAGTTGACATACATCTACGTTGACCCTTATTACCTATTGATGTATGTACGTACTATGTAGTTACTAGCAGACTATTGATGCACGATGCGGAAATGTTGACTAATAACTCGACCTGGCAATAATACTAATGGAGCAGCATTGAAATAACCCACCAGTCAGGACCTGCGAGTATTCGTAAGTACATACTACCATGTAGTATCAAGCTTCGTGTTAGGTTAAGCCAATCCCGGGGTACGTCGTTCATGTTGTGTCGTGCTTATTCAATTGATGTTAGTATCAAATGTACAACCGACTAACCTAACTCTCTTACCACAATGGTTTTAGAAAGCTTGTAAGTACCAGCACCTGCTTTCTTGGAAGTGTAAGAGAAAGCTATATTAGCTAATGGTAAGGCGTTTTAACTGTCGGCCGGCTTATCTCGCATTACACCGCATACGTTGGATCGGCCTTCACTGGTCGCCAAGGGTCGCTAGGCGGGATGCCCAAATTGACGGTGTCACCTACGAAAATGCCGGTGTCTCTGCGCAACTAAGCCTAATATCGTTAGTTAGCCTGGGTACCAGCCACAAGGTACAAGTGCCACATCAATCTAAGTACCAGCGTTGCTTACAGATACCTACATACTTACTTAGGTATTGGCATCAGAATGGATTCTAGGGCCATGAAATGCCCCAGGTTATCTACAAGGCCCTGGAGACTAAGGAGTTTACGGAAGCCGGAATAACTATTTGGCGGCCGGAACAGTTAT